TTGAATGCACTCAAAAAAAAACTTCAATTCCTGATAAGAATTCCAGAAACCTCTCAAAAGTACATTGGACATGCCTTTTGGCTAATAGCAATAAAACAATTTATCATCCATTCTTATTTATCTACATAGATACTTTAACTATTTCTTTTGCTACCAAAATTCATCTCAAATCGATTTTTATAAAAGATTTATATAAAATATGTCCTAAACAATAAATTAAACAAAATAAAATAAAATTACAAGAATCACATAGGTGGCTCTAAATGTATAAAATATATAATCAACATAAAATCAACTTCAAAAATAGCCTTTAAAACTAATTACTAGAAAATACTAATTTAAAGAAATTTAATAGATAATTAAAATTTAAAAATATAAATCTTACAATAATATAAAATAAAATAAATGTTATATACAAATATATAATATTTTCATATAAAAGCCAAATTAAAATATAACTAAATTATATTTCACAATTTATTTGAAGAAAGACATATCATTCTTGAGGATCTTCATCTCGATTACATCATCTCAAAGGTTTTGAGAATCACAATGTCTCATCTAGTAAGTCAATAAATGATAGCTCTTGACTTCAATTTGCTAGTTGTTGATTTTTTATTTGCTTAGCATCACAAATATACAAAAGTTATAAATAAAAGTAGAAGATAGAATATTATCTTCTCTGGATCTTATATCTTTTATAGCAAAGATTTGCTATTCTTCATCTTAATTTTAATAGATGTTATTGATGAAAAGCTTCAATATTCTTTGTTACATGTATAAGATTTTTTATCAATTCCTATGTACATTCACTAATATCATATTTACATCAATGAATAAAATATTATAATCAATTTTGGCATCGCCTTAAATGTAAGACTTCTTCTATTTCAAACTTTTGATTATTATCTATTTCTATAGAAGGAAGTAGCATTTGTCTTCTTCCCAAGTTATTTACTATCTTATATGGCTCCAAAAGAGACATGTAGAATACATGATAGATCTTCATAGACTTCAATAGATGTAATCAATAAGCAACATGATTGACTTGTTCAATGATTAAAAAAAAAAATCTAAGCCTACAATAGTCCAATTTGTCACAAAGACATGTCATGGATGATAATCACAATTGACAAAGAAATATTTTTTTTGAATAGAAAAATGTACCAAATTATTGTGTGCAAACTACATCAATGGCAAAAAATTTGTCTAATCATCTTAATAATAATTGATGGTACACGTCAAATATTGCTCCAAAATTTGATTCACTTATTTTGTTTGTTTAGTAGTTTGAGGATGAAAAGTCAAAAAAAGCTTTATATCTAACTTTAAAATCTTGAAAAGAGTTCTTTAAAATCTTGATATAAATTGAGTCCCTTTAGTCAATATAATATCTTTAGGCAATCTGTGATAGCAATAGATATTGTCATAAAAAAAACTTAATTGTTTCTTTACTTGTGATACATTTTGTACATGGTACAAAATATGTAATCTTAATAAAAAATTTCTATTATCACAATTATAGAACCATACAAACTTAAGACTAGAAGATCTACAATAAAATCCATAAAAACAAAAGATTATGATTGTTTTGGAATAGGTAATGGCTGAAAAAGTCCATAAGGTCAATGATGAGGATTTTTTGATCTTGAATAAATATCACATAATTGCACAAAGTCTTTAATTGCCTTACATATTTGAGACCACCAAAAATCTTTTGATATTAATTCCAAGATCTTATTGTATCCAAAATATCCAATTATTAAAAAATCATGACAAGCTTGAAGAATATATAATCACATTTTATCTTTTAGAATATATAATTATTTTTCAAAATAGAGTAGATTATTCTTAAACTCAAACTTAGAAGTATAATGAGATTTAAAAGAATTATTCTTGATATCATGAATAAGAAGATTAGAGGATATACTTGATTGAATTTGCTTGACAAAAGTTGAATCAATAGTCAATGTTAATTTCATTATTCAAAGATGAGAATGCTCTTATTTTAAGAAGATTGTTCTTTGTTAATCAAAAGTTGTGTTTATTTCTTTTGATATAAGATAAGAATATTTAGAAATAGCATCTGATAAATTTTATTATTTTTTGGATTAATAAGTAATCTTAAAATCAAATCTTAATAAAAACATGCTCCAATAGGCTTGGCAACAATTCAAAATGCATATTGACATAAAATACTTGAAGTTCTTGTGATTCATATATGCAATAATTGGACTAGAAGTACCTTCTAGATAATGATGCCATTCTTGAAATGAATCCATAATTGCAAGAAGTTTTTTGTCATGGATCTCATAGTTAATCTTGGATATTAAAAATTTCTTGGAATAAAAAGCTATTGAATAGAACTTGTCATCTGCTCCCATTGGTGATAAAATAATACCTACAGCAAAGTTTAATGTATTTTTTATTATGAAGAATGCCTTTGAAAAGTCAAGATTGGTACAAAAAAATATATATATTGTTTTCAAGACTTTAAAAGCTACTTCAACTTCTTTACTCCACTTAAGTTTGTCATTACATGTCAAGCATGTAAGAAAAGCTGCAACTTGAAAAAAGTTTTTGATGAAGATCTACTAATAATTGGCAGATTTCAAAAAACATTGTACATCTCTAACTATTTTAGAATCTTTCAATCTATGATAATTTGGACCTTCTTTGGATCCATCACAAGACTATCATTTGAAATGATGTATCCTAAGAAGTCAACTTAAGTAGTGTAAAATACATACTTTTCTATCTTAGCATATAATTCTGTATTTCTTAATTTTTGTAATATATGATGAACATAAAATTTATATTCTTTTGTATTCTTAGAGTAGATCAAGATATTGTCTAAATAACAAACAACAAAATTATTAAGAAACTTACAAAAAATATCATTCATTAGATGTTAAAAAATAGTTGGCACATTTATAAGTCTAAAAGGCATAATATTATATTTAAAATGCCCATACCTAGTTTGAAATATAATTTTTTTTAATGTATATCAAATTATATATTTTTTATAGATTTATTTTTGTATAGATCTTTGCTTGATTCAATTGATCAAGAAGTCTTAAAATCAAGAATAGAAGATACCTATTCTTGATGGTAATCTTGTTGAGTCATTGATAGTCCATACACATCTATAAAGATTCATCTTTTTTCTTTACAAATAAGATAGGAGCTTTGATTGGAAATTTAGAATGGTCTATGAAGTTCTTAGCCAAATTTTCATCAATGTATTCTTTGAGTGCATCCAATTCATTTTGTGATAGGCTATAGATTGATCCGAATGGTGGTTGAGTTCCTTCTTGAAGACCAACGGAACAATCATAAAAACAATGCTCTAAAAGAATATTTTCATTTTTCTTTTCAAAGACATCATGATAATCTGGGTATTAGTTTAGAATATCACTTAAAATCTTTTTTCTATTAACAATAGGTATGGCATATATATATATATATATATATATATATATATAAATCTTTCTTTTGCAACATGCATGAAAGTTCTTGCATCTACCAATAATGGTTTAAATATACTAATCTTATGGACTTTTATTTGTCTAGCAAAATCTTTAGCTAAACTATGAAAAAAATCGAAATTGTAAGAAATCTAGTATATTTGAAGATTATACCTTTTTTACCACAATAATTTTAAAATAATTATATTAAAAGAAGATCCAATCATATTAAATATTATTAAACTATTATAACTACTAGTTGCTACTTCTATAGAAATAATTTTATGTATAAAATTTCCAAAAGATAATAAATGGCTACCTATTATTTATGTATATATATATATATATATATATATATATATAAGTTTGATTTACTTAATTAAAGATATATCTTGTTTTTTAACAGAGTCTTTCTTTAAAAAATATGTTGAGACTCCTAAATCCAATAAGGCTAAGACATTGTGATTCTTTGATCCTAATCAAAGTTCTATTGTAAAACAAGGTGAAGGATTTGAAGAGAAAATTTAAAACCTTTACTAGGAGTTGCGTAAGATTTTAGTTGCATAGTCTCTATTATAATTGAAGAGACTTGTTTTTTGATACGTTATCTTTTTTAACAACCATGCTCTTCATTTTGTGATTGCGTTGCTTCTTTGGATAATATTAAGCAGTGTGCTTGGATTCTCCACAATATAGGTATAAATTCTCTTTGCAACAATAAGTCTTTTTTTTTTAGTAAAAAATTTAAAACGTACCATATTAATTTGCATTGCTTCCAACTTTGATGAATAAGTTTTTGAAAACCTAAGAATTGCCATCATTACTTGATTTGTTCTTCTTTAGCCAAATCTTTGTATTTGATGTCTTTCAAATAATCAATTATTGCATGCAATGGCTTGAGTGATAAATTATTCCAAAGATTTTGCTTGCAAAATTGTTAATAACAAATCTTTGACTTTGTCCTTCAATCTATATCGAAATTGATTAATAAAGGCTTTGTCATTCAAATCCACATCTTAATATCTAGGAAGTCTTGGTATAAATACTTTAGATAAAGTTTTATATTTTTGTAGAAAATGACGTTCTTTTAAAAGCTTCAGATTTTGAAAATATTATTAAGTAAAAAGAGCCCATAGAATGAACCAAATCAAAATTTATTATTACAAGTCTAAATATGTTGGGTCATAATATGATTTCTATAATTATATAATAATAATTTTGTTTTGAATTTTTTTAATGGGATTTTTTTAAATTATATTGGATATGACTTCTCAACAATTTATAAAATCCACGTTTTAACGTTTGTCGTTACTAAAATATCTGCTCTGCTGTGTGATCCAAAACCCAGGGATAAGCAGTGGACCGAACCCTAAAAGTGCCAGTGTTAGGGACCCCCAAGTTCCCTGTAAAGAAGCGAGAAAGATATTAAAGTAGAATCTGTTTCATCATCTAATGTCGGAGAGGATGGACTCCTGGGTAAGGATTGTCAAAGTGGGATATATCCTAATTACTGGTTAAGACTCGAAAATCCGGGTGAAAAACGGAGCCTGAACCTCAGAGATAATATGGAGCAAAATTGGAGGTAGTGATCATGGGTTGGAAATAGAGACAACATAATTAATGGCAAGAGATTAGGGCCCAGCTTAGAATTCTCTGGGACACTGATGCAATGCTCACCAGAGTGTCCACGATACCCATTCGGCACCGAATTTAGCATCCGGATTGGATAGGTGTTGGCCTTGTTTGGAGACTCTCAGGCTGCGTGGATGCGCTTTGTTCTGGGAGCTGCAAGGGTGAGAGTGGTGTAGAACGAGAAACGTATTCACGCACACGGAACTGAGAAGGAGAGTGTAGTCGAGAGAATTCGACAATGGCTATGGCGGCGATCTCGTCGACGACGTGCACTGCAGCTCCCTCCAGTACTCTGGTAAGCTCCCAAGAGCTGTCGTCTTGAAGCTTGGGTTTAACCTTATCTGAATGCTTGTGGGCTGCGAGGTAATCGCTTTCTGACAGTTTCGAGATTTTGAAGATGGACTATTGTGGGTGGTTTCTGAGAGTGAGGTGACAAGTTTCGAGATAGGAATGACAAAATGGGAGGAACTAGACGAGAGCGCAGTGTATTGGACCATTAGAGCAGTTGCAAGTACTATTTTGATTCATTCAGGTCTCTCTTGGTGAAGTCCTTGTTACCGGACTATGTTCCTCGAGTTGGGGCTCGAGTTGGATGATTGTTTTGTTCGAGGGTAGAACTCGTCTGCTTACTTGTATCGGCTAGTATGTATAGTGTTCTTCGTAGATTCTTGCTTAGAGATTATTTGACCTTGTTCATTCGCGCACTGATACCTGATAATGTCGATTCAATTGGTACTGTTGTTTATATGTTAAGCCTTATACTGGCAATTGTTTGTTGGTATTCTGTAACCTAGTCAACGTTTGGTTATTGTCATAGCAGAGGCTATCTAGCAACGGTAGTGGATTACGAAGTGCTTTTGCTGGTCCTCAATGTAGCTGCGGAGGATTTTCATCAGCACTCTTCGGTGCCCCTATCTTGAGGTTGCATATGCTGGCCCTTATGGATTATAGTCTCTTACTTGAATTGAATATCTCATGGCTTTCACAAGGATCCATTCTTGGATGATATTCTAGTGTGAAATGTTAAAGCCTTTATGTACTTGTTAGAGGATCTGAACATGAAGAAATCCACCAATGTATATGCAGCGTGGCGGCTTACACTCACTTATTTTCTCACGCTCTTTCTGGCTCTTCACATATATATCCTCTGAATGTAGGTTTGTGTTACCCTAAAAGATTTGTACCATGCTGACAGGGTCCAACGTCTAAGCGGTACACCTCGCCAACGAGGACCTGTTCAAATTTCTGCTGTCAAGTATGAATATAAATCTTCTCAGAATACAAATGATCTAAGTCAAGGTATGTGTGCCATCATTTCACGAAGATTTCACTTTTGGCTTGTTACGTATGCGCATGGAAGTTACACGAAGTGCTCTGATACGCAACATTCATCTTGGACGCAACATTAGGAGAGAATGTCACGATGTAATTCAAATCTCTAGGTTGGGCTACTTGTGATCCCTATAAGAGCGTCGCTGCAGCTTTGTTCTTCACTCATTTACCTATAAATTGAATGACGTTTTCACTGGGTGTTGTTGTAACAGTATGCTACTATCATCTCTCTTTCGTTGATCGTATCATTTTTGTTCCTCTTGTGTTACATTTTTTCACAAATCGAGTAGTGTTGGCGTTTTCTCTATCAGAATATAATATGTTAGATAGGTAAATGGCACCAATAGATTGTCTTTGCCTCCCGAGACGTTGTTGATTTTAGTTTTTATTCATTGGTGATATGTATTGTGATGCGAGCAGCTCCGCTATCTAGTGGAAATAGCAATTTGACGTTGATCAAGGATGCTCGCATCGAGGCTCAACCTCAAGACATGAAGCTCAAAGTAAGAATCTACCGAAATTAACTTTTTCCAATGATCAGAATGTCCTTACGTAAATGCATTCAACGACTAAGCTTCATAATGTATGATCAATACTCTATTGATATGTATGATATCTTCGTGATGTGGATGCAGCTGAGAGTAGATTTGACAGGCCAATCTACACAGAAGGCCTTTGACACAATTGTGAGAAGTCTTGCTAAGAACGCTCCACCAGTACCTGGATTCCGTAAAGCTAAAGGAGGTGATTTCTTACATGATTTTCCTAATCCTTTTCAAGTACTTGTTGACCGTTACTATCTGGCATGAAAACTTTGACATACATTACTGCTCGGTCTTTCAAGAGGATCGAATCTTGGTCCAAAAGTTTCTGTTTCATTATCTCTCTAAAACTTGGATTTCGTCATTAAATATCCTTGGTTGATAATTATTAGTGAGAGTTGGGAGTTCTTCAGTGTTGCTTTTTGGTCGCTTGTCTGTTCAATAGTAACCGAAAATTTTGCACAATTATGTTCTGCCCATACCTCAATCTGTTTTTAGTCACGTCTAAGCATTTTTGAAGCCTGCCTTGTCCGTCCTATACCCATTTTTAGGTCTTTCTTAAAATTTTCTAGAGGACGCGAGGTGGAAACCTTTGATGGGATTGATTTTGGGAACAGTTGTCATGGCCCCTGAATTTCTGTGATGTTGTGTGCATGTCTTCAATACGTCAATCAGGAAAAACATCCATTGTAAGTTCCCCATATCAAATAGAGACTCCTCAGAGTGCATTTGATGACTAATCAAGTAACTTTTCCAAGGGTGCCATTTTGGACGATTTGGGTCGCTTATTTCCTGGAACCAAGGCAACTCATTTTTAAGAAAATCACTGTAAAGGTTAAAATGGTCTGACTCTTCACAAATGCTCCTAGTTTACAAGTTGCGTACATGCTGAGTATGTGAACAGGTCCCTACAAGTGTGTTGCTGAATATGATGGGAGTCTCAAGGGTACGAAAGTTCGTGATTGAGGAGATTGTGCGGACGGTTTTGGTAGAGTATGTTGAGCAGGTTCGTACATATCGTCTCTGGCACATATGTTCATGTACATAGTAAATGTTGCAAGGTATACCACACCCCCAAAATCTAATACATCAATCTTCGACAGCGTTATATTGGTATTACAATATAATTCCAAGTAATCGTGAGGTATGTAGACAATTTATTGTGGTTGAATATGGAAGTGGCAGCTGCCTGTCCTCGTTCTCTAGTAATGTTATCTTCGTGGTTGCAGGAAGGAATCAAAGCAAAGAAGAACCTCGCAACAGATAAAACTGCGGACGAACTAAATGCCATATTTGAGCCTGGACAAGAATTTGGCTTTGATGCCACCCTTGAGCTGGAGGATGACTCAGCTGATGAAGTGGCAAAGCCAGAAGCAGCAGACGCATCCGAAATTGAGGTTGTGGGTGCATAATGTTCAACCAGGATCAGTACCATTTTGCCCACTCAAGGAGAGTGACACGAGCTCACTATGAATCTCGGACACTAGTCCATCCGGGACGGCGTTGCAGACACAGTGAAGCACTCAGCTGACTTTCTATAGTATGCTTCTGACCATGTAGAAAGTCTAGATTCTTCTCAGGCTCAGCTCTTGTTTTTATCTCGGGTGGGGTTTCTTACGCTCTAGGAAATGTTGAGCAGCTTGAATGTAAAATTTGTAGCGACCACATTCTTACCTCAATGTGAGTTATTTTGCTGTGAGAAACTGCCAGCGTACCCAACTCTCCATGCATGACGTGCTTCTGTGTGTCAACTTCATCAGCTTACTTTGCTTGATCTGAGCTAGTGGTTCTTAGCAATGTCGATGCTGATGTGGGTACAGTGAGGGGCACTGGCATTGTTCTATGTTCGTGGCATTACTTCCATTCAAGCAATTTCAGTGATGAAAAATCAAAATGGGAAAAAGCCTTTCAATTTGAGGAATTTGGCTTGAAAATCATAGAACTGTAACGAAAGTTGAATAAGACGTGATCACTTTCAAATTACAGTTGAAGTAGTAATCTTACAAGTCTTCAAAAATGTAAACATTTCATGAAAGAAAAAGTCGAAGTGCTGTAAGGAATCCCCCATTGTAGGCATCCATTTTCTCTCTTGTTTCTACAAAGGTTCAATTTCAGGTATGTGTGTCGGTGAAGGTGGTAACGTACGCGGTTTTAATTGGCAACGTAATCACATTAATATATGAATTTTATAAAAATATTGAAGTGTTTTGCTAAGTGGTTTGAGGTGCATATAAATACTTAAGAGATACAAAAAAAAGTTCAAGCGATGTTAAAAGTAGATCACCAAGATTTTTTTAAAATTCTAAAATAAGTGTTTACTTTACTTGTCAATTTGCTAGAATCTAAAAAAAAGTTTAGCATGCTTGTATTACAAGCACAATGATGACAAGTGTAGTCCATAGAATGGTTGATGATAAGTGAGGCCTGCACAAGAGTGGATCAGCTTAATCTAAAAAGTGGGCCACCAAGAAACTTGTGAAATGAATATTTATCTAACTTAATGATTTAGATAAATCCAAAAAAATCTAATTTGCTTCCATTAGCAATGAAACAATGACAAGTGTGGCCATGGGGAGGGTGGAGAAGTCTAAGCTAAAATAGATTTCCCCAAAGAGATGAGTTGCAAAATCAATATTAATGCATTAAGAGCTTTCTATAGAGATTCAAACTTCACCCCATATATATATATATATATATATATATATATCATGGAGATAGTCCTACTTTTTGGATCTACTATTTATTATATTCATATATATCATTTATGAACAATGAGAAGATATTTATTGTGACCAATCTTTGCATCTTATTGGTTGCTGCTCAAAGGTAATAAATTGGAAGGCAAAAGATTTTGTAGATTGTTGCTTATGGATGAAAACATGATAGATAAAAATTATTCATGTGATTTGATATAAGAATAGTTTTTTAAATATCTATTTTTAAGAATATCTCACTACTAAACAGAACTTCAATAAGGTTCCAAGGATTTATTCTACAATTTGACATACACAATTAAATACATAAAGTCAAATTAAATCGTACAATGTTCAGTAATATTGACACTTGTTGGCATTTAATTTATCAAATGCCAATTTAAATAATGTTCAGTACTATTGGCGTTTAATTTATCAAATTATTTATTTCTCAGGAAAAAAAAAAATGAAAAATACATTACCACCATTCCTCTTCAGTGTGTCTTTGTCCTCATAAATTACTCATCCTTATCTAAGTTAGACATTTCCATCCATTTGGTTCATACGAGCTTGGTAACATTGTATTTTAAATATCGCTTATGACACGTGTACATCACATCGTCTATCACGTCACTCGTGGCGGCGATTAACTACGCACCCATTTAGTAACTTACTACAAGGCCGGTTCGTTATCGGTGACTGCTCCACAACTAAATGCTTGCTTCGCTCCATCTTTCCATGCTTTCTCCAGGTTATCAGTGGCTAGTTGCGATGAGTTGCGGAAATTAGCCTGGTCCCTGAAGCTGTTTAGAACTGTGAGAAGAATCACTGCTTGGCTGTAAATGAGGGTGATAGCGATGAACGCCGTCGTGAATATGACTTGTTCGTAAGAGCACCTGTGACTTGGTCCTGCATTTCGTTACGGTTCCCCCTCGAGAATCCCGTCTGGAGGTTCACAAACTTAGCTGGAACACTTAGCCCCTGCATATGAGGGATTCCGCGGACGGCTTGTAGTTGCCGATAATTTTTGTCACCATCTCTCGAAGCTTCTCCGCAGTGCTGGAGGGATTGCAGCGAGACGCACCTCTCGGAGTCCTTTCCATGCTTCCCATTGCTGACTATGATGCAATGCTTTCCTGGCTAGGTACGCATCCTGGAAACTTGGAAAGACAGGGAGGGAAGTTCGTCAGAAGCAGGAAGTGAGAATGAAAACAAAGAGTCTGTATCCTATGTGCTTCCAGCTGAAGTTGCCAAGATGCAGCTAGAGCTCCAATTACTATTCTGTAGTCTTGCTTTTAAAGGTAGGTCCAACATCAAATGTCTCTCAAATTACTTCAAGTAGGTCACATTGGTGTAATAAAGTGTACAGATGAGTATGTGTATTTGAATAAGTATATCTCCATGTGGGTCAAGTTGATCATGTTTTTAGAAGTACAGTTTTTTTGGTTTTATGGCGGGGTTTTCAAAATTAGCATGAAAATGAGGTAATTAATGGAAATAGTTTTAGTGCTTTTGAAGAAGTTGTGCAGCATTTGGTATGAGGGAATGTATAAAATGTCCTGTCTCTAATGATGATGACCGTAAAAGGATTGGAGTTGACGTCCACGGTGTGCAAACTTGTGTGAGGTATGATAAGATTATAATGCGCTTACTTGATTTATCCAACTGCAACTTATTTAGCCTGTTTTAAATATGAATCCAAATATTCACTTATATTTTTAATATCAGATTAAGACTCTGTTTTATAAGTTGTAGAACATCATGTCAACATCTAATTCATTTTATTTCATTAAAACATATTTATTTATCTAATAAGTGTTTTTTAGAAATACTGTAAGGACTTGTGGTTTTTATTTATTTATTTATTGCAACATTCAATATGAATACTATCCAAAAAAACGTATATGTGCATTATGGAGAATTGAATAAAACTATTAAGAAATGTTGTACTGTAACAGTTTGAAATTTTTGTGTTTCTTTACTTTTTTATTTGTTTATGAAGTCAAGTTTTTGTGCCTAATTAAAAACCTGTGCAGATTTTAAAATAATAAATTTATTGTTTCTTTGCAATGAACAAGTGTGAAATTCTTTCAACCACATCACCAATGATTTTTTCATTTTTTATATATTTCTATATATCTATATATAGATATATATTTAATACACTAATTATGTATTTTGAAAATCATGGATGCTTATTACTTACTTTCATAAAACTCATAATAAGAATGACACAAAAATTTATATATACTGTCTATAAGAGATTATTTTATTTTCACAATCAATTTTTTTTTTCATCTTTAATTTGTGAATATGAACAACATCAAAAAATAATTAAACCGGCAACTGTTTTCCACCTACAGGCACAATGCATAATCTGCAAAAGACATGGAGCCAAATGAGGGTCAAGGATATGTCACTTCAGACTTAAAACATACAAGAACAGTAGATTCAGAACATTAGAAGACATGCAGACTCCTTAAAAAGCTGATATTTAAAACAAACAAACATGGAAAGCATCAATGAAATCCCGTTTCACACACTTGTGTCAACAGTTGAAGCCAAATGAAGCCAAATGAAGCCAAATGCGTTGAAACTGATAAGGACGTTCCACCATCCATTCTAGATCCATGTTTGCATCCATCCGTCGATGTTGCCAGCGTGTGATTCTTAGAAGGCGCAACAGGATAAGACCCACCCTTGACTTACAGAAGCTCCAGTCTTGACTAAGCCAACGAAAGCCAGTTCATTCATTTACATGATGAACATTTATTTATAGAAGTGCACATTATTAATTTAAAAAAAAAGTTTAGAACATTGCCATAGAAAGAGGTTATATATTTGAATGATTAAAAATAAGAATCTTCCGTTACTCAAATCTAGGATTTTACTTGTGTGAAGTCCCGGAAGTAAGTGAAACCACGTGGCGTGTGCAATAGGCATATTAATGGAACTGACTCTAGGAGGTCGACGGTTCGGCGACGAGGACTCCGGTTTCGGCACGGAAACCGGCCTCGAGACACAAAAGGCAACATGGTGTGGATCTTCGTGTGGAAGCAAGCTTTTAGCAACCCGACCTTTTCACGTCGGCCAATCAATCGCCAAATTCCCTCTTTAGGAAAACGAGTAATTCGACGCAGAGTTCGAGATTTCCCTACAAGTATCAGACCTTGGGTTTTCACATGCATGAAACTCGTCACACCCAAGATTCACTTGCAGTGACGGAATTCACCCTATTTCGGAGCGTCGCTAGGCTCTTTCCGTCCGCCGGAGGTGAAAAAGCAGCAGTCAGAGCACGAGCTTCCGTTATCTGTTGTGGCTACTGGGCCAGATAGCGGCTAAGCTGGGCAAGGGATTATGCGCAATCGTGCGGGCTGGCGGAAAGGTCATCGCGAGCCAAAGCCTGTCATCGCCTCAACTCCATCTATTGTCAGCACATTTCATGCTGAAGCCTGCGTTTGGACGTTGGACCACGGTAGTGTCGGTTGTCGCGGCCAGGGAAGGGAAGCGGGAAGACGGGAGAGGGAGAGAGAGCGAGAGATAGAGAGATAGGAAGGGAGGAAGGAGAAGGGCTCGTGGTGGACTCGGGGATGAGTGAATGACGAATTGGCTTTGTGAAGAGGTGGTGCGGGAGTTGTTTTGTGCTGTTGTTCCTCACTCCGTTTGCCGTCGGAGCATTCTTTGAGGCGGGGAATGCGCGCCGCTAGTAGCTGGCCGCGTACGCAGGTACTGGCAGTGATTGTGAGTATCGAGAAGATTGGGGAAATGCGTTAGATGGTTGTGTGCGTCCTTGGCCTGGTAACCTTCGACGGCGTCATTGGAGCTGAGCAAGGGGTTGACTGTGGTGTAGTTTCTTGCAGCCTGGGCATGAAGAAAAGTACCCCCGAGTGCTTTACATGTAGCATTCAAGCATCAAGTCGCCGACGCTCCCTAGTTGCTAGCCTTGACTTATCCGGAAGTACAGGTGAGGTCTGCGGAACGCCGTGAGCGAGATGGCGGGAACTGGGAACAGTCCTGTGGTGGCCATCAAGTTAGCCAGGTCGCCTCAAACAGAATCGTGGACGCAGGACAAGCTCTTAGCTGGTGATGTTGTGCTCCAGGTAAATGTTTGACCTCTTGGAGAATCTTCATGAGCAGTCTTTCTTCTCCGGGGTCGCAATTTCTCATTGGACTGGAGAATGATAATCAGTTTTCCCCTAGTTCCGCAGGTGCTATGATAAGTGTTTGCTGCTCGATAACAGAGAATATTTCGCTTGTTGCTTCTTTGAGTTCCCAACCTGAGAGTGGCTTTTTTGCTAGCGAAATTGGTTGAAATGCCTTTCCTTTTTATGACAAATTAGGTTAGTTATCGTAGCGGCAGTTAGTTATAACGTCGAATGATGTCATCTCTAAGCGAATACAGTACAATGCTTCTTCGTGCGGTAGAGTCTGCACGGTAAATGTTTCTTATTTTCCGCGTTCATGTGAAGCTTCCGAAAACCTCTCTGATATGTCTTCTGAGTCTTCTTTCAAGAAACGCCTTTTAAATTATGTTAATGCAGGACTGTATTGTGGTCTCGTCAATTAACCTCCAAGAGCTGTTTCGTAGGTCAGCAGTGACAGTGGAGTTATGTTAGTTGCTCCATTTGCTGGCGGGAAGAAAGGCCTCATCCGTGAGCTGAAGAAATTGTACAACGTGTCAGGCGGGGTAAAGGTCAAAGTCAAAAGAGGTTCCTCCGTAATCGAGGTTCGAGCTAAAGTCGCGGTGGACGAGAGTTCCCTGCTGAAGAAGACGTATGTACTAGCTAGTGCTACTGATAGCGGTCATGTAGCGACATTGGTGGATGCCATGGAACAAGATTGCCTGGTTTTGCAAGGTACACTTGAGTGAATGTCCTGCTTGAATATTTAGATTGAGTTTCTGACATTCACCTCTATCTGGAAAGTTCATTCACTGGGGCATTATAGTTTTTCTTTGCTGCTTTACTTTTAACAAATTGATGCCTTGGAGGCTAGTGAGGGAGTTCTCGTCAAATTATCTTCTGTTGTGTTCTTGTTTTTTCTTTTAGAAGGAAACTTACGAGCCTCTAAGAAATCTTGGCGAATTTGCATGCAGAAAAAAGTCGAAAGGTACTGGAAGCATCCAAGATACTGAAGGAGTACTCCAAAAAGGATGACTTGCTTGTGAAGTTAGGCAGTATGAAGTTGAAGGACAGCTATGTTAATTATCCTTGGGAACAGAAGATGATGACTTTCTTACCTGTCTCGGGCTCCGCGATGCTGTTTTCTCTTCTCATCATGCCACCAGCTCTATCGACAAGGGCTCGCGACTACGCTTGTGTTGAGCAAACATCATCTCGGGCAGTTGCCTGGCTATCGGCTGCCCAGGCGTCTGGAGTGCCGATCACCTTCGTCAATATCCAGACAGAGCATCTCTTTATGCAAGTGAGTAATCAACCCCTAAAATATATTACATATTTCATGTTTTGTATGTCGAATGTATTAAGAGGGAATCCGTGGCACCTTTGTCATTTGTTGATGGTGATAGTGGATTTTCAGATTATGAGCTACAAGGTTCAATCATGCTCTTCGAAGCTATCTTAAACGACCTCGATGTGGTTAGATCTTATTTTTTGCGGTTAGCAGTTGAAGTTGGCTTTTTTCATAAACCATGCCTTTCTGTTCTACAAAGTAATTCCTTAATATCTCCTAATTTACTTCGATATTCTCGAATTGCAGTTTGCAGATTACCAAGTTCCAGGCTACAAGCAGGACCCTGCGGTTATTAGCAATAGTGGTTGTTACAGATTGCAGGTAAATATGGTTTTGTAAATTCTCTATTTTCCGTTTCGTCTTCCTTGAACGCAGAATCTTTTACCAACTATTGTAATGATATTGGAGAACTTAGTCTTTACATAAATATTTAGGTGACGCTGCCACCACTTGCCCGAAATATAGATAGGAGACTAGAGAAAGCATACGCAGTCATCATCTGATTCTTTTGTTCTATTCGTCAAATTTTCATATATCCTACTTGGTAAAAGTAAGACCGGGTCTCAAGGACTTTTGGAAGATCCCATATGAATTTCACAGGGAATATGGAGGTTATCTTGTGACCAAGCAGGGGTAGAGCATCAGCAGAAGATTTAGCATTAATCCCCTCGTTTCACTGTATTGGACATCCTGGGGTTACTGGAGAATCCGCTTTATTTAAAAGTTTATCTTATGTAATAATGACAAGAATGTGCTTGCAGGATCGAGAAGCCATGGATATGGATGTTGTAAGAGCAGTACGATTATGGTACTCGCCTGCAGCTGCTGAGCTTGCCATCGACCTGAGACCTGAAGCGAACGAGTCTCGCCTTGGTGTTGGCATCAGCTGCACAGAAGAGGTATATTTGCGATAAGTTTGTGATAGTTTGTTGTTGGAGGATGATCTTCATCGAACTAGGACTTGTCATTCTTATATTTAAGAATGTTGTAATTGAACTGACTTTCAAATTGGTAGCCTGACGGGGAAGTTTCTTTGCGGCTTGTAGATAGTGATAAAGAGGATTCTTAAATTCAAGTTTACATTGATACATGTTTTAGCATGAAGATTATCGAGTCGTGTATTTAATAGTTACGAGCTTACGGTTTAGGATTTTATTTTTATTTTTATTTTTACCCTACGTAAAAGTCTACGGTTAAATAAATATGAAGCTGAACATATTCGAGGTTCTGGTTCTGTTTTCTTTGCAGGGGTTTTGCTATGTCTCTTCTGTGGACCCAGGCACAGTGGCTGACCGAGCAGGGCTGTGGACTGTATATCAAGATGCCTGTGCAGCAGGAAAGCTGCTTGTTATTTCTCGAGTAGGAGGGGAAAAGATAGCGCCCTGGTTGGTTGCGTCTTCTGGTTCAATACGGTGCTATGAAACTATCTCGTTGTCTAACAAGCTTTCGCTGCACCGGCAGACTGGCCAAGCTATCCGTCTACATGTTATGTTGTGGGAGGGTGCTCTCACATCTGACTTGTACCGCTCACCAGAGGATGGTTCAAACCTGGAGGAGAATCTTCCGTCGGTTGCGTGTATGAGTAGAAGTGTTCATAGATATTATGACGATCACTTACCGTATGATAAAGCATCCCACCATGAGCCGCACGAGAAGCATTTCATGCCCACGGATTTGCGAGATTTCGAAGTAACAGATAGTCGTGCAGAGCCATCGTTGCCCATGAGCGGTCCATATCTGCAGTACAAGTACATCAATTGATTTCCCATCTGGACCCATGTTTCAAGCCAACCTCGGGTTTTGATATCCGCGGCGAACATCCTCGGACGGCGTATTGTACATACTGAACTTCCCAGAGACTGGGCGGTTCTGAGAAGGTGCTGGCGAGAGGGAGACCGCTGCTCCTTTCCAGTTAAAAACCTTTAAGTGAGCGTCCAAATCGTATAATATGACGCAATCCCCTTACATTCTGTACATATCAATAGTGTAAACAACTTTCCCAGGTAAGTATACTTTCTCACCCAACATCTGTAGGCGCTTCAGCAATGCCATCTCCCCTCACTCACAATCAAGTCAGCGGCTTATTGTGACGTTATGTCAACATGTCACTATACGGTAGAAACCATGGATCAGGCAGGGATAGCTCGGGTATAAACCCACGTGTGTTTTTGTGTACAATTTGTGTGTGGCGACGCTGATTATGATAATTGATGCGTCGCAGCGCCCCTTTTCACTATTGATCTCGAGCCTTGCGATTATGTGGACCATCTGTACTTTTCGTACTTGTTTTTGGAAGTGAGTTTTCACTGTTTGCTGCTCTGTGAGAGCTGCAGCACCGCCATGCCCTGACGAGCTCGCTGTCAGTGAAGCGGCGCACGCTTAGTGGGAATGCCGGGGCAGACTCTCATCCTTCTCTCTCGACTCTCCACCGCTGCCCGCGGGCAGAAAACTCCAACGAAAACAAAATTTTGATTCTCTTGTTTGTTATATGCTATTGTTGGTACTATTTAACCTATGGCAGATTCATATCTGATTTATTTTTTTATTTTATTTTTTTAGAAAATTTATCTACAATTGTCACAGGCTAACTTGAAATATAAACATCCTAAAAGAAGATATATATGTATATATAAAAAAATGTATGTACATGCATATATAATTTACTTAATATTTATAAATGCAAATTTTCATGTATGATTGCGTCTTTGAAGTCCAATTTATTGTATTTTTACTTATATTGTAAACATATATTTTATTTGAATTTTTTTTGCAAGGTAAATGAATTGAATAATGTCTATAGTTTAAATTACAAGCTTCATAGATGTGGATTTGACTTCATATGTGTTTGTAGTTGATTAGTAGGTTAGAAATTAGGCTAACAAATTGGCCGTGCATTGCACATATTAGCAACTTGTGGTATAAATTGGTTGTGTAGCATACATATATGAAACTTGTCTTATAAGTTAGATATAAGTTTTGCAAGTTAGATAAGTATCAAAGGTCCTATAGAACGTCTCTACATGGCTCTTAGTTAAATAGTTTATATAAAAGCAAGAATGAAGCTTTTTTCACTCTTATTAATATTGTTATATTACATGAAGTCTTGCTTGAGAATGCACCAAGTACCTAGTTGTGGAAGGTAAATAAAAAATTGCAACAATATGGTCCTAATAAATTATAAAAAATCTTAATGAAATACTAAAAAAATCCTAATAAAATCTTAATAAAATTTTAAACAAATTTTAAATAAACTCAAATAAATTCTAAATAAATCCTAATCAATTCCTATATCTATTTTAAAATCTCAATAGCTATTAATTAAACTATTGATTTCAACTTAAATTTTACCTATATTTCAATCCTTAAGCAAATAAAAAACACACAAAGTTTAAGGAAAATCAAACTCACTAATTGAGTGAAAGAATTTCAAAAACTCTTAAATATTAATTGTCCACCTTTTCCAACTTGGATGTTGATCTTTCAACAACAATTTCTCTTTGTTAAACTATTCAATTATTTTCCAATTTTACAAATATATAGATACTAATATCTAAAATATTCTCACAATTTTTTTCTTTGATCGAATTAGCTAAATTCTCAGGATTATAAAAGTCTTCCTTGATCCTAAAACTCAAATATCTAAAATCTTAATCTAATAAAACTCTCATATCTTTCAATCTAACAATTCAATTGATTTTGAATTTATAAAATATATTCAAAATAAGCAAAAAAATAATTTCATAAAATGTTACCCATAAATTTTCTATAATAATTATAAGTTCCTCAAATATATAAGCATTATTTTCTTTTTGAATATCTAAAAACTTTGAATACACCTCTTACTTTGAAAAGCTCTTAATAACTCAATATGCATCCAAATGACTTGAAATCAATTCTAAAACAATCCTTTTAAAGTTTTTTTTTTTAAACTTTGCTCTTTGATTTATTGAAGAATCTTGGAATTGCTATAGATACACAATTTTGTACATTAGAGGTTTAATTTTTTTTCAGGTTTACAACCGATCTTCTTAAAATATCAATGTTTGGTATCTTCAAGAAATGGTTGCAAAAAAATATTATTAATTCCCTCCTAAAGATACATATATTATTTTTTTAATCTACTTTTTTTGCCTTATTTATGGCCTTATAAAATAAGTAGAAGTCTTTTTGTATAAAAAAAAATATTAATATTAAATTTTTACTACCTTCCTATTTCTTTTCATTGTTTTGCTACTATATATTTTAACTAGATTCTTCTATGGTAGAATCTATATTTTTATCTTTTACCATATAGTCATATTACAATACAATAATATATTTCTTGTCTTTAGTCTTATTTCAAAAATCTCTAGTTTACTTATTTTTGGCAATATTCATTCTAGTTTTACTACTATAATATTTTTAAGTGAATATCTATTTTTTTTTAAGTGATATAAGAATATAGTGAAGATTTTATTATTTATAATTCATGTCCTTAATACCTCTGTTCTACATCAAAGGCAAGACTAGAAAATACTTTAGTCTATAGTTAATTTAAGAACATTTAATTAAATATCTATTTTTTAATACTCCATGATGCTACATAAAGGAGTTTTTATCTACCATAAATTTTTTAAATCTAATATATTTTCCAACATGTTTTTGAAAATCTATAAATTGTCTTAATATCTAATAATGATATTATCATTATTAGATTAATGATCCATTTTTTTCTTAGTGGTTTTTTATATTATTTTATTTTTTTCTAATAAATTATTTTATTTTGGTTCTTAATTTATAAATCATAGTATATAACATCTTCAAAAATAAAGGTATTATATTCAGTTTATATTCTTTAGATGTAGATTCCTAAGAAGAAAGACAATATAGTAGCAAAATATTTAAAATTGGAATGTAGTTTGTCAGCAAAGTTATCTTGTTGTTAAGAGAACACTCTCTATAGATTAAATTGTCTTAGGCTTAAAAGTGATTTTTATATTAATGATGTTACCAAAGTATAGATCTATTTTAATTGGAATCATTTCCAAAACTTAAGTATCAGTATTTTTGGGTGTTTATGGCACATATTGAACATAATTGGGAGAAAATTTTTAATTGCCTTTTGTTTTTTACATATTAATAATTACATATTAGTGCCAAATTAGTCATATTATCATAACTTCTTTTTTAGCTCTTAGTTTGAATTATAAAACTTTTTAATTGAATAAGAAGTTATGTAATTATATATTGGCCTATTTTGAGTCTTACAATATATACACATTATACTTAGATTAGATAAATCTCTATTAAACTTTGCATTGCATGTCAAAAATTTAGATTTAGTTTCTCAATTGTATTTAAGTGGATTAAATCATAGTTTGTTTAATGACCTACAAAATATTTGAACTATTTAAAAAAAATAGATTTTTTTTAAAACAAATAAAATTATTTAAATACATGCTTCAATGAATTGAGATACATTTGTAATCCTACCATGATTTGCTATATCTGACTTTGATAGCAATGAATTAAGATATAATACTTTAGTTTATTTTTATCATTTTTTTTAAAAAAAATTGAATTTCTAATAATAATCCTAAATTAATATCTAGTTATATTCTATTTTTATTGTTAGATACCTTTGTTTAATTATATTGATTTTTCAATGAAAGTCTAAATAAAGTTTTATATTGCTAATATGCTAAAAATTTATTCCAATTAATTTCAAGATCTAAAATTTAAAATATACTCTTAAAGACTTTTACAATCTTAACTATATCATTGTCTTTTTTTTAAATGATTAATGTGGAGTCATTTACCTATTGTCTTAGGATTTACTGATTTGGACTATTTGATAACCTAATCTTATGTATAGATAAAATTTTGATAAAATATTATATAGCTAAATTTAAAATATTATTTATAATATTCAATAAATAAAGAAAAAATGATTATATTATTATATCTCTTATTTTAATATTTATTTTTGTAAGAGCACCATTAAGATTAATGAAGGCTTTTTTCTAATAAAGAATAATTTTACTATTTTTACAAAGAGCTGATTCAAGTCTATTATTTTAAGAAATTAAATTAAAAAATTCCATAATACTATATTAGATGCTTTGATAAAAATATAGTTTTAATAGATTAAAGGATTGATTCAAGTTTTAGTCTAATAAAAAGTTTCTTGAACTATTAAGATGTTATCTAAAATAAATCTCATAGGTAGAAGAACATTTTGATCTAGATGTATAATTTCTATCAAAACATATTTTAGTCTTCCTTACAATATTTTGGTATAAAATTTTACATATTTTATTTAAATAAAAAAATGGTCTCAAATTATTTAGATATGTCTTGTTTTCTTTTATATATAAAAATATGATTTTTTAAAACTATATAATAAGTAAAGGAGTCATTTTATATAGATTAATTGATTATATTTAATAGTTATTTCTAATAATATTATAAAAAGCTTATAAAAACTTCATTCTAAAACCATCAAGTTTTAGAACTTTTTCATTATTTATATCTTTCTTAGAATCTATTGCCATGTTGGAAGTTGACAAACCATCAATATATATTTATATTTAAATCTTTAAAAGACAAGGGCTTAATAAAGTCTATATTTCTTTTTCCATGACCTTACTTTCTAGTAGTTTTAGAATTAGATGGCTATGTTGATGGTCTGTTAAATTCATAATTTTTCTTCTATACATCGACATAGGAGTTATGAAAAATATTTTTTCTATTTTCATGATTAATTTCATGTTATTGAGACTAGAAATAAAGGAGAAATTATGTTTTTTTTTAATAGAAATTATAAAAACTCTTTTCAAGACCTATCTCTAGTTTTTATTTTATTTTTATCTTAACCAACTCTTGTATATATGTTTGCCTCTAATTAAAAAAATTGATTACTTATTTTTTTACTTTTTAAAATAATTTATTAAGGTTATGTGTCTTGAAGATTTTCTTTTTGGTATCAATGACCATCTAAAATTACTTGATTTAAAAACCAATACTTGCCTTTATCATAATCTTATGTATTTTATGAAAATTATTTTGTAAAATCTAAGAAGAAATCTATTTTAAATTATAAATAATTTAAAATATTTTTCTCTTATTTTTATATATTATAATTTCATGTTTACTCTTTGATCTTAGAAGTTAAAGAAGTTTTTTTGAATAAAGACTTTATTAATTGATATTTTTAGATTCAAATATTTAAGCCACTTAATAAATAATATAATAAAATATTATTTCTTTTTATATTGTGCCCCATGATATTTTTTTCTTAAGAGAGTATTTGAGTTTATATAGAATCTATCTAGTCTTGCTGGCTCCCTTGCTCCATTTTTATTTATTTATTTATTCATTTATCTTCTAAAAAAGATATAGATTATTATTAGCCTATTAAAAGATCTTCTAGTTGAAATAGAGATTTGAAGTTCTTTGCATTGAGTTGTTTCTATGGCTAATATTTCTTTGCAAAATAATGATTTATTTTGAGTGGATTTTATTATATTCTAATCTCCTCCAATAATCCAAGACTAGCTACTAGGAAACAAATCCATCACATCTAATCACATCAATGTCTTAACTTGATATTTATTGGATACATAAATATCAGAAATATTAATATGATTGCTTAAAATATTCTTAAAAATTATCTTAAGAATTTTTTTGTATATAAAAAATTGACATTGTCTATTAAGTATTTAGTATAGGATGCTCTGAAACTACAAACAACTCCACCCCTATGCACTATGAAGGCCTAAACCTTATCTAAGAACAACCTTTAAGATATTAAATGATGCATTTAGCCATAATACTCTATTAAGATCTTAGGCTCTCTTACTATATAGCTTATAATATTGAATTAATAAAATATAACATCATGGATGCATATTATGTGTACATGTATATAATTTAATTTTTAGAATTATTATTTAATTTTCTAATATTATAGAAAATAGCATTAAATTTTATATTTCAAAGTAGGATTAGAAGGAAAAAATCTAGGATTTCTTAAGAGATTCTTCCTTAGATATCATGCAATGTCAATTCTTAAATATCTTAGTAATAAGTCATTGTTGCATTGGCTAGTTTCTTTTAAAGTATGGATATACAATTTAAATTTATTTTTCTTAATAAAATATATATAATTAAATTTTTCTATTTTTTTGGCTAGTAGATTATTTAGCTATATTTTTAATAAGTTTAAGGCCACTACTTAATCTATGTCTATGCAATAAGTAGTTTTAAAATGGCATAAAAATAATTTACTTAATTACACCTTTTTTTATTTTTTATTTTTTTTAAAGACTTGTATTAGAAATGTATTATCGTTAGGTATAATCACTAGTCTAACTTGCAAAGCCGAATTTCCTAAAAAAATACTTTACTTTCCAATCAATCCTTTACCATTTCTTGTCATTTAGCTCCATTATATTTCTATTTATTCTACTCTTATTAATTTTTTGAATATGCTCACTTTTCTACTTGCTGCATATTTTTTTATTGCATTAAGATAATGATACAAGAATCTAACATATCTTAGAAATCCACTTTAGTTGGTTGAAGTAATAGACTTTATCTTATTCCAATCTATTTTAAATCTATTTTATTAAATTGTTCTACTGTGAATTTTTTTTTAAGTCTTTAATAAAGTAAGGATAGTAGGTATCTCGTATTGCATTGCATTTAATTTGTTGCATCAAACTAAAGATTGTATGTTGTTGATTTTTCAATATTAGATTGCTTACTTATATATTGATCTACTTTATGTTAAATTATCTACTAGTTATTCCAATTAGATATATCTATATAAATATAGATCCTAGAATAGTTAAATTTATATTGGCAATACTTTTTTTTTATGTTGGTGTATTTTCTAAACCTACACCTATATATAAGATATCTTTTCTAATTGTTGTTATCAATTGTGATAGTAGAAGATATCATTGCATGGTTGAAAGAGACTCTCTTTTATTTTGTATTGAGTCATCTTTTGTTTTAATTAAAATTACCAAAGTACCATTGCCTTCCTCTTCCATATTATTTGATATTACCATCTTTGAATTCAAATCCAATATACCAGATGTTATTTGATTTTGTTGATAGTTTGATCATGTGAAGATGAATTGTCCTAACCAATGTGGATTAGAAGATGTAGGACTTGCAAAATTATGTCCATATATGACTTTGCAAGCTAGTATTGTGTCTGGTTGATGCTAAATAATAATATTAATAGTTATACTTTATGCATTTCTTCTATATTATTTTATTGTATGATATCTCAGATTTGCTGCAAGGATAAAGCTATTTTCTAAAATATTGAAGTTATTATAATCTATGTATTTTTATCCTTCTCTACTAATAAGTTTGTTTTGATATTTTGTCAAAGATTTTGACTCTAGTTTCTTATTTTAATATTTACTTCTCTTCTAAGTTTATACTATCTTTATTTAGAAGTAATTGATACAATATATTATTTTCTAGTCAAAATTTACAATAGATTCAAAGATTATTATAGTAATTAATTTTTACTTTTATTTTTATGTGATTAGGTTTATTGTCATAAAATGTAAATCCTATTCTTCTTCTAATAGTAATGCAATGTAAAAACTTTTAATCTTGCACTTTATTGTTTTAAAATCAATTCAAAGTATTTCTTCTTTGCCCTCAATTATTTATTTGGCAACATTATGGAATTTATCTTAAAGATCTCTTAATTTGATCTATATAGAGATTTTTATACTCTTATAATCTAATGATAGTTTTAGATTTTAATCGATTGTTGGTTTGAAGTTTATATTTTTTTCTTTAAAATAAAAATAAATAAAAATAAAATCAATAAATTATAAAAATAAAATTATAGAAAGATTGAATTAGAACCATTTTAATGTATTCTTATATTTGCAATTTTAAATTAAAATAATGCTTTCAAAATTTTCTATGCAATGTAATTTATACAACAAGGATCTCCTAAACTTCGTCAAATTACTAATCAAATTGTTTTAGGGAAGGGAGAACTCTCTATTTCTCCTACCATGAAGTGAACAATGAAAACATATTATTCTAGAAATTCCATTTTGTATTGACTAAAGTGTTGTTTATTTATGTGTTTAAAAGTACAATTCTTACTAAGAATTTGTTGTAGCTATAAGTAAATCCTATTGACAAATACTCCTTCTAAGTAGCCTTTATGAGATGTAGGGGCCCTTTTTGCAAAAATGTTGCCAACTTGTCTGCCTTCTGTTATTCTTTTGTTGTATTCCATTGATCAGTTCATCCACCCTTGCACATATTATGCTTGGTTTCTTGCATATCTGTTTGATTTTCATATTCTTATAATCTAATGATGGTTTTATGATTTTACCATCACACACTAGACACATAAAAATTCTACTTTACTAACCCTAAACCTAACCCTATTTGTTTGTTTGACTTTTCTCCAAAAGTAGCTATTGCATTCTGCTAACCTTACGGCTCTACCCAAACATACACAATACATTCACTACTGTGTGTGATCACAGCCAAGGCCACGCCACTCCATTCCCACCCACTCATACGAGCGGCTTCCGTAAATTGCTTGTAGCCTCTCCAAAGCTCCTTTTAGGTGATAGGTTAATAATTATGATTTGTTTCAACCAGAATTTGAACATTCGTATTGTAAAGTTAGAGCGCAGTTTGTTTTAAAGTCGTGTAGTTGTGTCACATGTAGAGTAAGCATTAATAGAAAGGCGTACATTAGTGTGTTCTGTTAGTACAACCGAAGTTGACAGGCCTACTTCCAACTATTACCCTCTGTCGAAGTATGTGCAACATTTGTTGGTAACAGCAGTGATGACATGGACATCATGTTACGTACGTCAGCTTGTACAACCTGGTTGCATCCGATCCTTTCCGACTACTTAAACAGATCGTACATTACATAGGAATTTTTAACACTTAGATGCCATTGTCTCTCCAACGTTAAAATTTGTCTTCACAGTTCTGACGAAAATCACATTGAGGGATTCAGGACTCTGATACGAAAATTGACATAGACATGGAACTCACATTGAGGGATTCAGGACTCTGATACGAAAATTGACATAGACATGGAACTGCATCAAGAATGGTATGTCAGATAAATTTAGTATTAATTTTGTATCAGTAGAACAGCCGGTTACAGTAGCAGGGCTCTGCAGAAAAAGGGGAACATTTGTACTCAAGTATTAGGATACACTAAATTACATTAGCAGTTTGCCTCTCGATATCTCTCTAGGCTGGGAGCTTGGCAGAAGTGATGGCTTGATAATGTTAGAACTTCGAGAGGCAAGCTTGTCAAGGATATTACCGGATGGCGATTATGAAGCAACGACGTACAAAAGGCTTTTATACAGAATCGGGTCATCTCAGATGGAGAGATGAGCAATTGAGTAGGCGCTTTAGGATTGAAGAGAGATCAATGCCCTAGCAGATGGCAAGTCGGCGTAATAGAACTAGCTCATTAAATTTAGAAATGTTTAGATGCAGCGAGTAGAGTTGACAATGTGTGCAAGGCCTGACTTGGGTCTCACTGTCTCCCCATTACTGGATCTGGCTCCCTTGGCGTGTCCCAATGGAGAGCCAGCTCGTCCGTGAGAAGTCAAAGGAATTCCTTTCAGCTTACCCATGGCAACAGTTGTCTCTTCATCAGAGGCACCAAGCTGGTTCTCAAGCGACCTGAAGGGTGCCGACTCAACTCTTGGAGCGACGAAAAGGCTCTCAGTCGATGGAGGACGGAGACATGCAAGCCGGCTACCGTAGTTTTCTTGGGAGGCTGGCAACGATCCAACACGGACATCACTCTCAAATTCCCGGTCCACAGGGGCTCCTCCAGTTTCCTGCAATTCACAGATTCAGCAGATTGACTATACTGTTCTCCAGACCATCACAAGGCATACAGCAAAAACCATGAAGTTCAGTAATAATTTACAAGTACCTTGATAAATCTCATCGAGGACAACAACGAAGTCAACAAGGCAACAGGACAGTGCAAGGAAAAGGTAGAGCAATAGTAGCCGAATTCAAGTCCGAGTCCGATGAAAACTTGATACAAAGGCATAGGTCCACTTACCCCGAGGAAGAGAAACTTGAAGTTCCTTAAGGACACAGGAATGTGAGCCTCAACCTCCTCACGAAGTTCTAAAAGACTCGAAGTTTTGGGGACGTTCACAACGCAAATAAGCTTCCCGTCAGCCGGATCGCTTGCCTTCTCCCATTTCACATACACATCTGTCTTCTCACCTTCCTGCTTTGGTTGAGCGTTCTCGTTTGCAAATATACTGGCGGACATCCGACGCGTTGGCCTTCTGGAGGAGGGAAATCTTTGTGGAGATACCGCAGGCATTAGGGAAGGCAACGAGCTCACGCTGACATCGGTATTGTACATAGCCTCGGAGTAGCTAGGTGACGTGGAGAAGTCGGAGATGGATTGATCCAGCTGGTTTTCCGCGAACTGTTGAGACCCATACGAGCTGGACGTGGGGCTGTATCTTCCAGATGGTACATCACGTACAGTGTCTTCCGATTCCTTTGAAAACGGGCTCACAGTCTTTCTGGCAAGTTCTCGTCTTTCTCCACAAAGCATAAAGATTGTTTCGATTCTAGCTCTCCTGGCAGCTTCTGCATCACTTCCGCCTGACTGACCACCGTCAAATAGGTCCGTGCCCAAATTCAGGAGCTCTGTCTCAGCCGGGGAGACTTCAGAATATTCTTCACCTGCGCTCTCATCGAGTGACCTCATGGAGCTGACCGGATCATCGAGATCGGCTCGATTCTTCAGGGAATTTTGGGCTGGTTCAGCAAGTGCTGTGAGTGGACTGTGCGTCCTAAGTGAAGGAGCAGCCAGACGGTTGTCATGTTGATCTTCCTCCAGCGCCCACTCTTTGGATACTCCAAACACAAACTCAGATGATGCTGTACACAACTTGACCCCAGCGAAGTTATCAATCGGTGATGGGTCATTTTTCGCCCGGGAATCTCCCCAAGGAAACAATGGGCTGCCACCAAGGCCGCTGTTGCTGGGATAGCTCGCCATGGCTGTGTTGAATTGTTCTTCAGGGGATGGGAATGTCAGGGACGGAATGGAGTCCCCACCCTCGGCCTCTTCCTTGGATGCGATTGTGTTATCTGGGGTCACCTGTTGCATCGATAAAAAAACGGACATCAACAAACGATTCATGTACCTACAATTTACTGACAGCTTCACACTTAATTTTCAGAAATAGCTAGTGCAATTAAAGACCAAGGTCGGCCTGCCAACCTGAGACCACAAGGTGGAGTAGTCTTTTGCAGAAGATCCTTGTGGAGGCGTCACAGATTTCCTGCTTTCTAAAGACTGCGCAATTCGCTCGTCCTCTTCCAGAATTATAGGCAGCCATCCTTTACTGCATAGTCGCTCACCCATCCACTCTTCGGACTCAATGTCTTTCCTCGGCTGAACTGATGGGTTTACAGCATCACTCGGCGACTGGCTTTGGGTTGCTTCTTCAGTTCCCAGAGACAATCGTCTTTCCTTTTCTTTTACAAGATTTTTCAGAAGCAGTAGGCTGGGGGAATTTGCAGTAAGACTCATGACCTCAGATGGGGAAGAACTGCCACTATCACGATCATGCCTGAAACTATCATTCATGCTGCTGTTGGGACCAGGCTTGGCTTGGAGGTCACTGTGAGGGTTTCGTTGTCCATTCCTTTCTCCGACTGCCTGCTCAGGGATAAACTGGGCTTTGATACGATCACACTCAGCTTGCGTTGCATGAATGCGATCATTAATGTGCTTCTGGATGTCTTGAAACCGCTGGTTGGTGGCACCTGGACCTTAAGGTTCAAAGGACATCGCTCAGTTTCAGTAAATGGATTAAGCCGTATATCTGAGATGTCACATACGTTCCAGCTGCAATCTAATCATTGAAGAAACTAAATTCGCGACGAACGAGTTAATACACAATTAAATTCACAGATAGAATCATGTAAAGGACAGGGCAGATGAAAATCGGATTCATTCTGTGCAATTAACTCGTAATAAAATGGGTGCAACTTACTTTGATTGAAAGATGGCATGCGCTTATCCATACTCTCAGGACCAGCTCCCTCTTTGGCATCCGACTTCTCACCACGGGTGTTACCAGGACGGGCATTGTTGTTGAGGTTGTATGATCGTTGCAGGTGCAGAAGTTCTGCTTCAGCTTTCTCAGCCCGTACCCTCATCAAATCTATCTCTCTTTGCTGTTGTAAGACAAGAGAAGTCAGCTCCTCAATTTTACGCTTCCTGGTAGGCGAACTGTTTAAATCCTCGGCCTCACCATCATGAAGACTTTTCCTTTTCTTCTGTGGTTCTCTCTCAGAGTTCCACATCTTTGCCTTCTCTTTAAGATCTGCCAGCTCTCTATCCTTCCGTTCTAACTCTTTTTCCCTCTCTTCGTTCTCCTTGCTCTTCAGCTCATTCTGCTTTCGTAGAGCCTCAATATAAGCATCCTTCTTGGTCAGGCGGGCCTCTAGGACTTGAAGTTGCTCAGCCCTTGTCGCAGTTATCTGATCTTTGCCAGGAGAGTTGGGCAGGCGTACGATGCACTTGGCTTTCGCCCCGTACTCCAAGGTGCATATAGTTTTGTGGAGGTCCCGGAGGTCGGGACTTGCACATAAAATCATCAGGATCTTGGCTCTGTCATCCTCGAATGAATCCTATTGCACAATACAGGTTACGATAAACAGCCAGGCATGAGATGAAGATGTGAGCGGTTAATGGAGACAACTTAAGCTGGATAAAGTCCAAGACATCATAGACTTTGAGGATAAGTCTAAAACTGAAGCATTATCGAGTCTAATTTCACCTGTAGAAGCATAGTAAGTTTGCTGTCACGATAGGGGATGTACGAATCTCCATTCGCGATGGCCTCAACGACTCTCTTGAGAGCTCCGTTGCCTTGGTTAATCTTTCCTGTCTGACAATCGACACCAATTTCAAAATATATCATGCATGTTCTTTCTTCAACACCATGAATGAAGAATGAACATGCTTGTTCAACAAAACATCTTCAAGTGCCTGTTGGAGTCAAGGGTAAGATGGATTACCTGCATCTTAAGTTCTCTTCCTAAACCTGCTTGTTCTACGTTCTCGGAGCCAGCCATGTCCACAAGGACCAGCTTGCCGCCCACGTCAGGTACATCAAGCGTGACCTGTGCCAATACAATCCGTGTTACTAGGGACGAAGCATTCAAACATTGTATGCAACTAGATAAATCAAGGTATACTGATCAATGACAGTACCATGCAATGGCTGCGGGAGCTTCGGTCGTTACAGTTCGTGCTTTTCACGACGCGCCGTCCCTCTACTTTCGAGATCTCTTTCAGGAGCTTCTGAGGATCAGTGCCAGATATCGACATACATGTCTTCACTTTCTTCCCCATAACCTCCAGCTTCACCTACAGTGTATACATGCATTCAAGAGTCAAATAGGCATTTATCGGTGACAAAAAAAAAATCTGACAAACCCAATAATTAAGATATTTGGAATGTTTGACTATGTTTCTAGTTAGTAAAGCGACGGGGATGCAAATTAAACGTACTTTCACGGTTGAGTTGGGGCAACGGCCGGAAGATAGAACTCGGGGAAGGCCTAAAAATCCTACACGAACTACATATTCTACATTACTGATACAGACAGCTTCTTAGCTGTAACCACAGGACATGCACAGAGTGACAGTGATTGGGATATTGACATCAACGATTCCAAACCAGAAAATAGCAGGGCTTTCTCAGTTTCACTCTAAAACTGACATATTCCTTGATGCACATTGGAGAGATTTCACATACCCGTCCGCTGCTACTTCCGCTCATCTTGAACAAAGTCCCAAAGCCTGATTTCGGGGCACTAACACTTGCTAGCAAATCGTAGATTTCCTCGTTGTAGATCTCCCACACGGTTGCCCGGACCTCAATGCTTTTGTCAGAGAAATCGTCGCCACCGTCAGAGGCTTCGTGAGTCATGAGCTGAGACAAGGCGTGATAGGCAACACCTTTCTCGTGGGCAGCCCCAAACATGGTGTAGCTCTTTCCAGCACCCGTTGGCCCATACATCATGATTGTGCATCTTCCACCAGCTTTTACGTCCTCAACCCGAGATTCTACGTATCGGCCGTAGAACGCCTGCAGATTCTCCATGGCCGCCAGAGACACGCCGTCGAGGGAGAACTCGCGGCAGCCGTTTCCCATTCCCTCTGCACGAACTGCGACGCGAGAATGTGGAAGAACCCGAATAGCACTTTCCTTGTCATTACCTTCCGGGTGCTCACGAATCCGCCCTACTACTTCGACAGGATGACTTCCAGTACGCGAAGCCTGCCTGTCCAGAAAAGGTTGCATAGACCTGGCCTTACCCGTGGGTGTATTACCCCCTACATTGCCAGACGGCCTCTTCTCCCTCGGCTTCGGGGACATCATCGTTGTCATCGCACCCGACGGCTCTGTTTTAAGGGAGTATGTGGGCACACTCCAGCGGTCACCGTGAAGGCCGCAATGTAGAGGACACTGTAAGAAAGTGGATTTCAAATTCCAGATGATAGGTGCATGGATCCTCTAGTCGATGTCTGGAGGATAAGCTCCTTACCTGCATAAGCAAGACGACATTCTTGGAATCCTCGTCCTCACCAGCCCTCTGTCACACTACACTGGGGTCGCTAGAAGAGTTTCATTCCACAGGACTGAGGGGCTTGACGTTTTAGAGACATTGAGCGAGGTGCTTCGAAGACAGCAGACCATTGCCCTCCACGAAAGACGTGTAAGACGTAACTACAGCTTCGAGACGGAAGAAAACATAAGCTAAGGCACGATAATAAAGTCGAAAACAGCACACATCTCACGATGAGGAAACCCAAAAAAAATTCAAACGAGAAAACAAAACTTGAGTAAAAAACACTACTTACGGACGCTACTCTAACCAGAAGACTGTGGGAGAGAGGCGAGGCGGCACAAATTGAGAAGCTATGGGCTATTCCCAACAATAGGGCGGCTGTACAAGGGCGAGAGAGAAGCAACAATGTGCGGGAGCGTCGCTGTGGAGGAAAGAAGAAGCAGCGGGGCTGCGAGGAGGGAGGTAGCTGTGAAGGAGAGCCGTTGGAAGGCAGCCTTTCAATTTGCGACTAGGGCTCCTTCCCATTTTGGTTTCCGCTGTGGTGCTTGGCGGAATTCAAAACTCCCAGGAAGAATGTCGTTATAACTTTGGAACAAGTCAGCGCCACCACTCCACGTCGGATCCTCGACGAGAGAACCAAAACAGATGGATTGTGCCAGAATGTCGTGAACGGGTACTCTGTTAGTCGAAGATAACTAGAACTTAAATTATCCGTGAACTAAGGGGTGTTTCTGGTTTGAATCGGCGCTTGTTATGCTGTGTTCGTTTTATGAGATCATTTTAAAGTGAAGTTCCAGGTATATTGGGACACTGATTTGAAGGCTGAATACAAAATTGAATGACAGAGAAATCATTCGGGTAACAGTCTGCGTTAGTATGTTGACATTGAATAGGAATAGTGATGATCTACACAAACCTCAACTTTTACAAGAATAGAACTGGATCTATTTTCATCGTACACTATTAACGTGGTGGCGTAAACCAGAAGGGACAAAGCCGGAAAGTGGTGGATTAAGAAACTCACGAGTAAGAGAACACACTTTACCATTGGCTCCTAAATTTGTAATTGATTCTTTCACGCAAAACCAATTTATGACAGAAATGTCCAGTAACACGCTTTTATTCATGTTTTTTGATACAAAACTTGTATAGTCTCACTTTAAATGTGCGTTGCAAGACTAGTCATTTAAAACTTGCGTTAACAAGTACGAACACTTGAATTCTTTGAATTCAATCATCCTGTTCACGACCATGCTTCGCAAAGACTCCAAGAAGTTATTAAGTTAAATATTAATCACCTTAAGAAAGCAAAAAAGTAAAACCTCCTCAAACAAAAACTCACTGCAGAGGACAAGCGTAAGCGTAACAGAATCTACAAACGTCAAGAAATGCAACATAACAAACAGCTCAAGATGGGTGCAGTGGAATCGCACAAGAAGTTGGTGCAAGGTTGAGCAGGAGAACCAAGATAAGCTACATTAACTTCCCAAAAGCAATGGGGTCGGAGTACCTCAAACGCTACTTGAAGATTTACAAAAAATAGAAAAATAAAAAAAATAAAAAACTGGTTACAGATAGAAATGGACGATACTGAATTAAACACGCTTCCAATACTATCACAAAGACAGTCATGCGTAGGCTTGAATCTGCGTGTAATAGATCATCGCACGGAAAATAACTATCTCTCTGGAAATAAAGTAACACTAGCCAAATTTGGTTTTACTAAGGTTGATAACGAAAAGTACAAGCTATAATCCAGTGCAAAAAGAAGTCGGGCAGGTCTCAAAAACAAGAGACGTGACAGAGCTTATATGAATAGAATACCTCAGGAAGTGTGACAATCATCCCATAAATTAAGAACAATCCCTATCTCAGAGAGTCTTGAAATGTAGCAGACAGAAACAGCAACAACAGTCGTGCTTAAAAACCAAATCTCAATACCCCATCAACCTACATACCATCACTCAACATAGTCTCGCAATGTCCGCAACAACAGTAACACTCAACAGACCTTCTTTGTCCACAGAAGCCCTCCGACACACCTCATCAAGCTGCGCTTCGTTCTCTTTCAACTTGTTCACTACACCCTTTAACACATCCTTCTGTACAAACTCGTCCTCCAGCTTAGCTACTGCCTCCTGCACCAACCGGAGCTCTGACGCCCCAGCCAAAACCAGACCTGCAATCATGCTTCCCAACTGCTTCGGAGCCAACGGCGCATCCATCGCCATGTCCTCCAGCCCTTCCATCACCATCAACACACCTCCCCGCAAGTCCCCGCTCGATATCACCCCCTTCGACTGCAAGTGCAACAGCAGCTTCAGCACCAAGTTGCACTCTTTCTCGCGCATGTCCAGGGCTGTCGAAATCGCGATCTTCACCAACTCCGGATGGAACCCTGGATTCTTCAGCTCTTGTACGCACAGTGCCGCCTCGTTCAAATCCACAATCGACAAGTACTCCTTCAACAGCGACTCCGACTTCTTCGTCAGCTCCGCCGCCGGAGCCCCACCTCCTGCAGCCGGTGCTTGGGCTGCCACTGCTGGCCGGACGGCTTCCCTCACTACTTCTGGCGCCTTCGCCACCTCCACCGCTGGCTTCGCGGGAGCATTGCCCAGCAATGCGCTTGGCTTCCCCATGAACCCGTACCCACCGCTGCCTTGCGGCAGCACCCTCGCACCCACGCTGCTCGTCCGCATCGACGGAGAACCGTAACGCCCCTGATGACCCATCGCTCCTGGCATTCCTCCGCCCATCGGACCGCCCACCCCACCAAATCCTCCGCTCCCCGGCATCGGCAGCACTCCCGTGCTTTCCTTCCTGCTCCTCCTCCCCATGCTCACCGTCTCCCATCCGTCCGCCTCCAATCTTGGCCCCATGAAGCTCCCCATCATCGGACCCCCGCCCATCCCCCCTGGTGCTCCGGGCATTCCCCCTGGTGCTCCTGGCATTCCCGCCATCCCGGGCATTCCTGGCATGCCCGGCATCATGCCTCCCGACCCTGGCATAAACCCTGGCATCGCAGCTCTCCCGTTCCGCAGCGCCATCATCCCCGGCCGTAGTCCCAATTTCGCTTCCGCCTCCGCGTGGATCTCGTTGATCGTCTTCGCCTTCATCTCCTCCCGCCTCGGCACCCACTTGTTCGACCTCATGTCCAGGATGTCCCGCACCATGAACCGTATTCGGGATGCCAAATTCTTGCTGTCCCCGATCACCTTCAGCCGCGCAAAGTACGTGTCGAACGCCATCTTCGACTTCGCACTCTCCTCCAGCTGCTTCCCCACCGTCGTGAACAGGTGGCACAGCGCCTCCACGTTCTCCTCTGCCGGTATGCCCTTCGGATCCTGCCCCAGCAGCTCTTGGATGCACGCATGCACGATCTTCTCCGGCAGCATCTTCTGCTTGAACAGCTCGCCGATCAGCTTGATGTTCCCCAACGTCCGCAACTTCACCTTCTTCTCCTTCTCGTCCCGCTCCACTGCCTGCTCCGCCCGGGTCAGCTTCTTTATCTCCTCTCGCATCGCGTCCGCGCCCTCGAACTCCTCCTGGCACGTGTTCAGCAACACTCGCCTGAACGTTATCGGCTTGTCTCCAGCTTGCTCGCTCGGAAACTCCGGCAGCTCCTTGCTCAGCTGCAAGCACAGCCGGGCGTACATCGCACAGAACGTCGGCTCCAGCACCGCCTTGTCGAAGATGAGAGAAATCACGCCCTGCAGTATCTCTGCCGAGCTGATTCCCGCTTGCATCATCTGTTCCGCCAGCAGATCGTACTTCTCCGGCGTCAGCTTGTTCAAAATCCCCTTCACCGTTCGGTACACCTTCTCCTTCTCCGATTGCGCTCCCCTCCGAGCCGACCACGGATTCGCAGCCTTCACGATTGCGGGCAGCGGTCCTGACGCTGCGCTCTCCTGCTGCCGCTGCGCCTGAGAAGAATTCGATTGCTCGCGCGCACCTCGGTTGTCGCTCCTATCACTCCTATCGCCCCTGTCATTGCGCTGCTTAGGGTTTCTGTCTCTCTGCTGATCGCGAGACGATGATCTATCCTCCTGCGCGACCGTGGGTGCAGGGATCGGCGCTCGGCTCTTCCAATCCCTGTTATCAGGCTCCGCACCTCCGAACGCCGGCGACTGGGGCACATCCCTAGGCTCTCTCCTGATCCAGTCGTCCGCACCACCGCTGTTGATCAACCCATCGATCCCCGAGTTCACCAGCTCCTCCGGCGCCTCCGTGCACTCATCCTTGAACCGCAACAATCGATCCCTGCTGTACCGGATCCTATCGCGAGAGCTCCTCACGGACCCAATTTCCGGGGGCACCCCAACAAACCTCCGCACGCTAGGGTTCCCAACACCTTCTTCTTGATGCGTTCCTCCCTGGCCGACGTTGCTGCTCTGCTGGGTGCTACTCAAGTTGCTTCCTCCTCTGAAAGGCCGAAATGCGACTGACCTACCTCCACCCGGCCGCAGAGACACGGACGGCGCAAGCATCGACGTCGAGGAGGCGGTGTGAGCGGCGGCATCCATACTCATATCTAGCCAACAACTATGCTCAACGCAACAGTACTACTAATACTACCTCTAACTTACCGTGTCCCTTCTCGACCCCCCTGTCCTCCGTCCTCCTCTTCTCTCTCCTGTTCATAATCCCTGCACCTACGAAGCTGTCACCGCAAGCAAGCACGGTTTCGGAGCACAGACTGCTCAAAGAAAGAGCCAAGCAGCTCCGTCGCGGTTAACCCAATTGAGGTCTGGGCTGAACCCTTGTGGTCACCTCCTCCTCCTCCTCCGCCCTCTCCTTCACTTCCCTTTCCTTCCCTTCCCCTACTACCCCCGTTGGAAGCGTCTACCGCATGGCAACAGGCACCTTACTCATCCAAGGATGAAACTGGCCCTGTGATATTACATGGCCCCCTCTTGCTATTCTCTCTCTCTCTCTCTCTCTCCCTCTTTGCATAATCCTGATTCCAAGTTCGCTCATCCTCAGCTTGAGTTGGTTTGGGGAAATAAAAGCCTCAGTCAAACTCATGCATGAAAGTAGAGTGAGGTTTATTTTTATATTATTATTTTTTAGTTTTCCATTTTGGTTCAATACTGTTTGTAATTGTCCACGTTTGTTTTGCCCAAATTTATAGCAAACAAATGCCAATGTTGTTGACATGAGTAGGCAGAAGCTAGTGTTAACTTCTCTTTACTTGGTATATATACTTAAAATTGATTTGCAAGATTAGTATGCATGGGATATGCTTCTATATCTTTGTGGTTACCATTGGTATAATTTGGTGAAGAATTCATATCCTAATGTTACAATTGGTAACTTTGTTGGATATTATAACATTTTTCCACCCACAAGCATAAAATACTTTCACCAATTACATTCTCTCGTTTTTCTTTATTTTTAAAATAATTGTGTAATATCAATCGTTTTATAAATTAAAAATAAATAAATATTATAGTATTTACATGTAGCATGAATATTGCAAGTTTTTAAAAATTTCTTTTGAATACTAACATTTGTTAAATGTTACAAATTCAACACATACTACATATGTGTAGTGTTAGCACTCAACCAACACCCCAATTTTAATGATAATTGTTCAAAATATCATTGGTCAACTTGCTTAAGACAAAACATAAAATATTATTTACATGTAAGGTTGTAGGGTGATACCATTTTATTTTGTGATCTAATTACACTTGAGTGGTATCAACACTCTTTTCATTCTTAAATTACAATAAATCCATAGCTTCAGCCTCATGACGATGTCAAGGTCATTTGTAATGTATTGATAACAAAATACATGTATATTTTTTCTAACCATTATCACTTATTAATCACAAAAATGAATAATTTTATATGTATTTTTAAAAATTTTATTTATATTAAAATCATATAAGGAAGAAGAATAAATAACTTTATAAAAAATTTATAAGTATAAAAATTTAAGAATTTCTTTAATGTTATCTAGTAAAGTATTATTTGGCTTTATTTTCTATAATCTATTTTAAAAAAAGTTTTATTTACATTTTGGTACTAGAACTTAGAGAACCACATTTATTATAGTAAGTTAAAAAATAATTTAAAAAATATAAATTTTTATTTTTTCTATATATAAATAATTTATATTTATGAAATTATTAGAAGTAAAGAAATACATATTGTATTACTAATTTGTTTCCAATTTAGATAGACATCTCATTATTCATATAAAAAATATAATAGTTTGTAAAGATTGTTTTATTAATAAGTTTTTATAAATTATTATGATTTTTTTTGTTACTGTTTTTACATTTTGAAGTATTATGTTTTTTATTAAAAAATTATAAATTATTTTAAAAAATTTAATGATAAAAAGAGGTAAAACCATTTAATTTTAAATGATAAATCTTTACCTCATTTTATGTCCATATATGATTGGAATATTAAAATCTTTATCACTTATGGTATAAGTTGGACATGTGGCACACATACAAGCAAAGTGTCTTGCAATTTAAATATGTGTTTTATAATTTGGACACATGTTGAAGGTCCTACAAAATATTGCCATGTAGCTCTTAGTTGGATAGTATATATAGAGGTAAGGATGAATTGTTCTTCACTCTTGTCAATTCTTTTCTTGCTTCTAGTCTAATTTCAAGAGTTTCTAATTTTCTTGTCTTTTGGCAACAACCATTCCAATTTCTTCTTGAATGTACATATTCAATTTATTTATTTATTTATTATTTTTTTCATCAAAAAAGATCTCACTTATTTATTTACATTATTTAAATTCATATCCTTAAAAATATATTAATAATTTTTTAAAAATAAAAATTCTATATGTACTTAGTTATATTTTATAATTCATTGATTTAATTACAAATAATATTTTTCATCATAAATGGACTGATTTAGTAAAAATCAAGGTTTATTCAATATTTTTTTAAAAATATTCTATATACATAATATGTTAAAGTAATAAAGTAAAAGTGAAAGTAAAAAAAGTTATCTTGTAGAAGATATTGCCTTACATAAGTTGCTATTGGTTAAAGGGTTGGCTCTTGGTATGTAAGAAGGCAAAGAGATACAATAGATGAAAAGACCAAGGATCTTAAGAGAATACAAAATATACTAAAAGTATATTTTTATAATAAATAAGATAGGAATGAATAGTATTAATAGAATATTAGATGGATGTATTTATTAAAGAATGGAACTTGTCTATTAGGGCAGCAACCACCACCTATAAGTAACGGATGTTGGAAGTGAGAGATATCTTACTCCATACTCTCTTTGTATGTAATCTTATTGATGCTAAGTGTTGTGACTTCATAATGCTTGTTCTTCAGTATGTTATGGACCTACTCACCTTTAATTGGGAGTTTTGAAGTTCTTTGAAGTCTTATTTGTTATGAGGAGTAGATCTTTTGGTTGTTGATATTAAGATTTGATATCATCTAACTCCATTGTTGTATCTAGTTATTGATGTAGTTTTGTTCTTACTTGTTGTTAAGTGCATTGATAATCTTGGAGGTTGTTAGATACCTTAGAATGATATTTTAGAATACTAGTATTGTGTTTCTTTGCTAATTTATATCATTTGTGATCTATCATTGTGATTTTATGTGATAAACTTCCCTTGAGATCCTTTTATAGTAATAAGAAGTGTTTTGTAAGCTTAGAAATATTTCAGGAGAGAAGAGGGTTGATTGAAGACAGATAAAGCTCATAGAAGAGGATAAGATAGAATATAAGACTTGTGAGAAGTCTTATAAGTGAAATTGAGAGTGATTAAAGAGTGAAATCACTTTTTTATTCACAAAGAGGGCATTTTGGATTTCTAAAGGAGCAACATATTCTTCTTGATTTTGAGAGCTCTTTCTTTTTTCTCTTGATTTATTTTGATACATCCTTTTCTTAGATATGGATTTAAATAAAGGTGAAAATTTGAGAGTAATTGAGAAATTTAGGAATGACAACTTCTACTATTGGAAGAAAAAAATAAAACTTTTGTTGGCTTCATTCGACCTTTAGAATATTGTAAATGAAAGTGAATAGTCTCCAAGTAGTGATATTAATGTCAAGGTGAAAAAAGAGTACAAATATTGTAAAAAGAAGGTTTTTAGCATTCTTACATCAAATTTGGATGATACCAACTTTTCACATGTAATTGCTTGTAATCAATCAACAAAAGCATGGAGGACTCTTTGCAACATCTATGGAAGTAGAAACCTTGCCAACATTCTCTGGCCAAAGAGGAAGTTCTTAACAATAAAAATAGAAGAAATAAATGACTTTATGACTCATGTTAATAAGGTAAAACCACTTGCAAATCAACTAGAAGTTATTGATAAGCCAATTGATGATAAGAAAATTGTATTGATATTGCTCATGAACCTTTCAAAGTCCTACAACTATCTTATTATGGCATTAGAATCTATGAATATGAAAAAGCTTACCATGAATTATGTTACATGAAGGTGTGCTCATGAAGTGATCAAGAGGAAAGAAAAAGAACTTCAAAGTGATAATTTGGCTCTATTTTTAAGATAAGGTAAAAGTAGCTATTTTTACCAATGATATAATTCAAAAATTAAGATAAAAAATTACTATATTTATAGAAAATTATGTCACTTTGCCAAAAATTACTATAAAGCTAAGAAAGAAGATAGAGAGAATGCAAACAATGTTCGTCATAACTTTGATAGAGATGACTATGCTTTCATGGCAAATAAAGGAGCCTCCATGTCTACTATGTCTAAGTGGATTATAGATTTGGATGCTACTAAGCACATGACACCATATAAGTATTTATTTGACACTTATGAAGAAATTCCAACAACCAAAGTTTAGTTGGGAGACAATGGCATAGTACAAGTCATTGGAATTAGATCCATTGTTGTGGAAATTTTTGTGAAGGACCAAATCAAGAGAATCAAATTGAAAGAGGTTTTACATGTGCCAAAGATGAAGAAAAACCTCCTTTCTATGACCAAACTTATATCACATGGTCGTAAGATTTAATTTGATAAGAATGGATGTTTTTTGAAGACATTGGGAGGATAATATGTTGCCAAAGGCCTTAAAGATGGAAACCTGTATTTTATCAATTGTAAGAAAGTGAATAGAGTAGAAGTAGCAATATCTACTGATTTTCTATAAGAGCAAATTAAATTTAAAATTTGGCATCAACAACTTAGTCATTTGAATGACAAGAGCATAAAAGAACTTCAATCCATAGTAAGTAGCTTGGATCTTAGTCAATTTAGCCATAATACATTGACACTTGCTTAAGAAGGATGCATACAAGGCAAATAACAAAGGGCTTTATTTTCATGAAGAATTGCAACATGTGATACTAAATTATTGGAGATTGTGCATTTTGATGTTTGTGGACAAATGAAGACACCATCAATTAGAAGATCAAGGTACTTTGTTACATTTATTGTTGATTTTTCAAAAAAAATGTGGATTTACATCATTAAAGCTAAGAGTGAATGTTTTTCAAGATTTAAGGAGTTTAAGGCTCTTGTAGAGAAACAATGTGAGTACAAGCTCAAAGTGTTGTGCATAGATAATGGAGGTGAGTACATATTAAAATATTTTGATGAATTCTTGAAGATTCAAGGTGTTGCAAGAGAATCGTCTATTTCCTATATTCCACAACAAAATGGAGTTGCTGAAAGAGCAAATTGCACCATTATGGAGATGGCAAGGAGTATGCTTCTTATACAAAACCTTGGACATGAATATTGGATAAAAACAGTGATAAATATAGTGTATATAAGAAATAAGTATCCAACAAGTATACTC